GATTATTGACATGAGATATTAATATGAATGTTTTTATACTGATGGTTTTATATAATTACTTAATTAAAACGAAATTTTTGGTCTTGAATTTTGAGATGTTACACATAGCCTCCTTCTAGAATGTGTCATGTGTCATAATTTTATGGAGCCACGTCGTCACATCTCTTGGAGGAGTGAGAGGTCGACTTGCCACGTGGCGCACTCCGGTGCTGCCACGTCACTAGCACATATAAAATAGTCTATAAATGGATAGATTCTTGAAGATCCCACATAAGAGGTATATTAAGTTAAGAATGGCTTTCATGAGCAATTCATCAAAATTTAGATGAATACCACATTATATTTTTTGGAAATATGCATAGTTTCTCCTTTGTTATCTATTTAAATTGTCAAGCCTAACAGTATAACCTAATATAAAATATACACTGATGATTGATGATAGTTTTATAAGTTACAACTTGCAAACAAAACGAAACATTACAATTTTCACTATACCAATAAGCTAACTATATTAAAATAACATCTAGCAAGATGACAGAGGAGAAAAGTTATTCCAATAAATAAAATAAAAATGCAACAACTACCTGGACGCAAAAGTTAGAAATACCATGTAACCTACAATAATAATCAACAATATTACCAGATTTGTTAATAATCACGGTCGGAGATGATTGTAGTCATTTATTTTAGAATGTCTTCATTTGTGGGCTATAAGGACTAAATCTAGCAACTGCCAACAACAAGATAATTCAAGCTTCCAAACCAACTTTAAACTTCTACTCAAAGATAGTTAATAACCAAAAAAACTGAGATTTATTTATAAAAATGGACCCATGTAATAAAAGAATACATAATAGATCCCTTTGTAATTAACAAATTACAAAATTAGCTTTCCCATACAAAAAGGCTTAGTGAGACAGCTTGTTGCCCATTTGCTTCCACACTCGTTGTATTGTGATCCAACCATTGCAAATATAAATCGGTGCAATTGGTCAACGCCTTTAAGAGTTCTAAATGTGTTTTTCATACTTCAAATTATGCCAATATCACATATCTCTTTTCCTGTCACAATAAAAATGTCTAAGGAACTTAGTTTAACATTACAAAGAAAGCCAATTACTCTACACTCACCTAATGAGATATTAACTACAATTGGAAAATATCGAACATGTGCTAATGTCTGATAAAAAAATCCAGAAAATAGTTTGTAAACCCTTCATGGCCTTTAATTTACCAACAATGGCATATTAAAGTTTTAGCAAATCTAAGTAACATAATCAACATGTCCTGCAATAAATATAGTAAACTTCCTTTTTTTACTACAACTTCTTCCATCCTTGCTATATGTTTATAAGCCTTATTAAACTAAACAGCAGGATAATTTTCACAGTTTAATATTCGAGCAGTTCTTCTCTAACTAAAATTAACCATAGCCTTTCGGATTACTTTTTCAAACCCCAAGTCCATCTCCAAGACCCAAGAGTAGGGGATGTTGTTATAGATAATTTTGATTTTGAAAGCACACATTTGCCTTGCAAGACATATACAAATGCACTCCAAGATTGGGGTTGAGCTAAAACTGGAAAAAAGAAAAAGTCAAACCATTTCCTTAATTGGTATGTCTGCATATAATGTTATAGCCTTAAGGTATGAACGAAACAAATATTCCACATATTACAAAACAACACACAATCAGGGAAATACAATTAAACAGGTAATTTGAATTAAATATATACTTTCTAGTATATGAAATACGAAAATGGTAATGCATGCATTTCTTCGTTGGACTTAGCACCTACCCCACACATATCAAGTTTGTACTCCAAGTTTCCAAGTACATAACTACGTATTGTAGCTTTTTTATTTTACCAAGATGTCTTAGCACACATATGTGTAACGACCCAAAAATCAAGGATAAAAATTTCATTTTTAGTATAGTCAAAATATATATATCATTTATTCCAAACATCTAAAACATCGTTAATTAAAACATTTATCAAAGTTCATCCCAAAATCATTCAACGCGGAAAAACATAGGTGCGTGCACTGCGATCAATCCGGGCCTTTCTTTTCCAATCGATGATACCTGAAACCAATAAACAAAATTGTAAGCACGAAGCTTAGTGAGTTCCCCAGAGCATACCCCACACACAATCCACATAACACATATCATATTAGCTATAGAAGCTACATATACCACATAAACCATGCATACATAAACCTGTAAGGATGTCGTGGGCTCCCCCCAGGGTCTTATACCATTGTGCCATGGGCTACCCCACATATTCTTTACCTAGGAATGTCATAGGCTACCCCACATGGTCTTACATCCAATGTTCCATGGGCTACCCCACATGGTCTTTACCTAGGAATGTCATGGGCTACCCCACATGGTCTTATATCCAATTGTCACGGGCTCCCCGCGAGGTCTTCCAAACCGTTGTATTTGACAATTTAAATTAAATTTGGATAAGATCTTATTCTTGATTTTTTTGCCAATGAATTCAAATATTTGTGTTGATAATTTGGGATATAAGATCAAAACCGATTTCTACAGTATTGTAGCTTGAGCGGGAAAACAATTTTGTGGGTGGATATAAGATTGAGAAGTGATATTAGTGACATTTACATGTATTCGTTTATTTATTAGAATAAGTAGATTAGAATAGCGAATAAAAATAACTATTTTTGGTAGTAATGTACTAAATTTGAAAGCGATTGGAGAATGCCATTAACCTTTTTAATATTTAGGAATAAAAGTAATTATTTTTGGTTGTAATGTACTAATTTTGAAAGAGATTGGAGAATGCCATTAACCTTATTTAATATTTAACGTAATATTCAATGCAGATATTAGCTTTTAAGTTTTAACCACACTATCGTCGACAATGATAACACGCCAAGACAAAAGCGATCAACAGAAACAACGTGTCACCAAATTATTTGACTTTAACAACCGACCGTTAGCCAGTCAAATCACAATACAACTCATCACCATTTTGGACCGTAGATCTCAAAAAATCTGCATTTCAAACTTTTTCTTTTTTCCTTTTTATTTTAAATAAAAGTTGGGTGACCAATTTGCAGCGTGATTCGCGCTGTCACTTTATTGTTTCCTTTCTCTTCATTATTTCCCCCTCTATAAATACCACCATTTTTACCTTCACTTTTCTCACACAAGTTTGAAGAGACTCACTTATTCACATTGCTTTTTGTCTCCTTCTCTCTGTTGATTGTTAAAATCTCCTGTTGATTGTTAAAATCTCCATAAATTCAAGAGAAATGGCCCAAGTTAGCATGGTGAAGAAGGCTTCTGTTCTCGCTATTGTTGCTGTGGCGATCTCTACCGCTACTGTGTCGGCTCAGGAGTTGTCTCCGGCACCTTCTCCGCTCGCTGGAGCGGCGTTCTCTCTACCGGCGTCTGGTGTCATGATCGGAACTTCTCTGCTTCTCTCCTTCGTTGCTCTGTTCAGGAATTGATGTTATTTTGGATGACGACGTGAGTGCAGTATTATTTCGATACAGATCCATTGCTATTACATTATAATTATTTGCCAGTTATGTATTGGATTTATTCTTTATTTTAATTTTCAGATATTACATTGTGATCAGGTTATGCTTTCTGAATATTAATGGTATTATATTCTGGTGTTGAGTTTGAGTTTATTTTTTGAGCAATTCGATTTCCTTATGGTTCTAAATAATCAAGCACACATATATGTCAATTATACACCATTTAACATTCGCTTCAAATAATTGATTTAAAAATCTTGAGCTTTTACAACAGAAGAAATGGATTGCATCAAAATGCTAGGTTTTGGGGTAGTTTATTCGGTAGTTGAACGAACCTTAACCAAGCAATTATAGATCGTACCAAACAAATTTAATCTTCAAAGGATAAATTTTGAGGTTTTTAATGTGTAAATTGAACAAATAGCTACCAAGAACTTACTATTTGGCTAGTGACAAAAATAACCAAAATGGTAGGCTCAATATTTTAACGTGACTATATTTTTCACTTGTATAAAAAAGTAATCATACGTTTAGTCAGTCAAATCATTGCAAATTGCGAAATGCAAGAAATATTTGGCCTACTACTTAAAATAGGCAAATATTTCAGTGGGATATACAATGCTTAGATACTATAAAAAAAATGTATAAATGAATACAATATTTCTTTAACCTCATATTCATCAAAAACATATTTTATAAACATCTATAAACTCGTAAACACTTCTTTAAAACTCGTCAAAAACACCTTTTTGTTGAAATATTTGCATAAATCAAAATACACAATTATAACGTCATAAAGTTCATAAAAATAAATAGGCTAATAATGCAATCTATGATATAGAACCAAATCTCAAACCCAAGTAATCTAAATATCTAATATCACAAAGTCGTGTTCGGTATCAATAACCTCGTATTCATCAAAAACTTATTTTATAAACATCAAACTCATAAACACTTCTTTAAAACTCAGTTATCAAGTCTCTAAACTTATGAAGTCTTGTTTCTGTAGTGGACCAATTCGTTAACATACCACCAAGCCATTTTTTATTAACATAATGACACCGAACCCTTATTGCAACCCATGTTACTGAATAATATGAATACCTTTACGTTTTGCAAAGATATAAGGTGCCATTTTAGGATTTCATTTCCTAGTATTGCTTCCATCATCTCTTCTAAATTAATGTTCCAATATCTTCTTGTCATTTCTCCCCACACTGCCTCCCCCTTTTGAAAAATAAAGAGAGAGGTACTCTTAAATAAATAATTATTCCGATGGAACCTTCTTTTATACTATAGATTAACGTAGATACACAACCCAAGCCATTATTCTTTTCTATTTGTTATTTTTTTTATTACTATTACCAAATCTGCTCTTAGAGATCATTCAATCCTAAAAAAAATGATTGTTCTTGTGTATCATGTAAATTATTTGAAAGGCAAGAATCAAATAATTTTTTGTGGTAGAACAAAATATCTTTTATTTCTCACTCTAATAAATTCTTTTTTTGGAGTTCAAAGACAATGTTGTTAGGCTCGCTTAAAGGTGTTTTGAAGCCGCTACCAACAGGTATCATCCCCCCACAACAACGTTTTCTTTCAGGCCTTTCAACCAATCGATACAGCCCAGGAGAGCTGTTTTTTGCTAAAACTCTAGCAGTTTCTTGAAAACTAGCTACAGATATGAAACTTTGAGTATTCATAGATGCTCTTGTTATTCCCAATAAGACGGCTTGGTAACAGATCGCTTCTTCCAAAGCGCGTCCCATTCGTTCCGCTCGCAACAATCCAATTAGTTCTTTAGGCGAAAAATCATTAGACATTTCATCTTCTGAAACCAAAACTTTTGATGTTATTTGACGTACAATAACTTTTATATGCCTATTATGTATTTGCACCCCCTGGGAGCGATAAACCTTTTGGACCTTATTAACCAAAGATATACGACTTTGCACTATAGTTAGTTCAACACCAATCAAGAATGCTCAATGAATTCCAGTAATTCTTGTTATAGATTTGTTCCAACCCTCAATCCTCTTTTCGAGATTCATCGATATTGAATCAATCAAACGCACTTCTAACACCTGTTCCACTTTTGGAAGACCTTGCGTTATATCACCAGATCTTGATTTTTCATATATAAATGTAACTAATGTATCGCCTTCGTAAAGGATTTCCCCATAATGTCCATGACCAGTTGCTCCTGGAGTAGCCAAATAAGGCTTAGCTGATCCTATTATCACAGAGTCAACTTGAACAATTAGAACTCGACCCGATTTTAAATGCGGTCCTTTTTTTGCTATACATATATTTTCACAAAGAAACTGTCCAAAACTAACGATTGGAGATGTCTCTTCATAATAATTGTAATGGAGAAAATACCAATTCAAATGGAATGGATTCAAAATGATGTTACTGCATGAATAAGGATTATAAATTTGACCATTTTCATCTAGTAAATAATATTTAAGTATTTGAAAAATCTGTTTGAAACTGTCAAGTTGCAAATAGCTAGTTACCAAGATCTAATTATGGGTTATTAAATGGGAAATAAATCAAAATTATAAATTGGAAAACCTGTTCCTAACGGCCCAAGGAATTCCGAATTGGAATTAGGGGGTTCTTTTTTATTGATTCTTTTATCACATTAGGAGATTTTACATCGTTGAATGGGCCTATTCGAAAACAATTGGATGACGACAAAATTATCAGAGATTGAGATTCCTTATTTCGATTCAACAACGTATGGATAGTTCCTTGATTTGGATTAAGGAATTCTTTAATCCTTAACTTGGAATTGGAATATGAATAAATGGAAGAAAATGGATTGACATTAGCGCGATATGATCCATTCTCAGAGATCAATCCTGAACCCGACAAATCGTTCCTTTTTCCGGTATAAGAAATAGGTGACTTAGCTAAGTCGATTCTTAGAAAATATCTAAGCAAAGCATTAATAAAGGAAGCATAGGCGTTTACGATTTTCTTGTCTTGGTCCCAATTCAACACTAAAGAAGTCCGAACTAATTGAATACTTGTGTCCCAAGAGATCTGGCGGGAAAAGTCTTCCTAAATTTATACCATCCGTTTTTTATATGGGACTAGAGGTTAAACCAAAACAAAATACTTTTTTTCATACCTAGAAAGTTTCATGCGTTGGATATAGAGCTAATTTTTCAATTTTTTGTATTCTTTGGAATTTGGTTTTCCCCTTCCTTGCGGTATCAATCGGAATGCCTTATTCTTATTTCCAGGAAAATGGATATATCCAGAAAAGATTACCAGTTTCATTTTTTCTGCTTTTTTCTTCACTCGAACCAATCTGCCTACCCGACTTCTTTTATTGAAAGTGATTTATGTGAGACCATCATATTTTGTAAGACATGGGAACACATTCCTAGAATATTATATCTTGAAAAAAAAAATTAAAAATATTATTTTCGTCATTTATTTTATCCAAAAAAATAAAAAAATAAATAGCAAAAATAAAAAAATACCCTTTTTTTCAAAATATATGTGAAATATTCTAATATTATACTGTAAATATTCAAATCGAATTTTTTGAATGTTAGAATATTCTACTAGAATATTTAACTATAAATATTCAAAAGAATTCTAATAGAAGTTCTAATACAATATTAAAATATTTTAATATATCTACCAATTTCAGTAGAATCTTAGAATATTTTAACATTCTAAAATTTTGATTTAATTATTTACAGTGTAATATTCTATTAGAATATTTCACTTATATTTCGAAAAAAACGGTAATTTTTTTTTATTTTTTTGGGATAAATTAAATAACGAAAATAATATTTAAAAAAAGAATTTTCGGATTTTTCCTTTTATTTTGCATTTTATTATTTTTATTTTATTTTTTTGATCTCCAATATGAGTGGCTAGGATCCCATCCCCATATCTCACAAAATTATTATGGTCTCAAATGAACATCTCTCTCTCTCTCTCTCTCTCTCTCTCTCTCTCTCTCTCTCTCTCTCTATATATATATATATATATATATATATATATATATATATATATATATATATATATATATATATATATATATATATATATATATATATATGGCCCAACACCTGGTCGATTTGGGCGGATGCTAGGGCAGCAAAGTGGAGAGGGCATCAGTTTAGCCCAACATGTTATTTTTGGCCCAAAAACGAGTTCAACATCTCCGATCGATTGTGTCACTTGCTTCGACTCTTCTATTCCCAAACGTCATCGCCTAGGAAGACCAAAACTCAAGATGTAAAGGATATAGAAGATGAGGAGTTTATTTTTCCCAATCATCGATTGGTCAAGAGGCTCTTCTTCAGATACGCAATAACTAGATTGCCTCTCCCGATTTCTATCAATAAACAAACGAAAGACCATAAGTTCTCTAAACTTTCATCTCTCGTTTTCTATCAAGAACACAAGAAGAATATTTCCGGATACTCTCTCCTATCCTAATTTTTGTAAATAAGTTGATATCTCTCGTTTCTCGGATCTAAAATTCATAAACATCACATGTTGTCTATTTTCCTTGACTTGTTATTTTTTGTGAATAAATTGATAAATTGTTGTTTTGTAAGTTTAGTAATTAGTAGTAGTTGGGTTTTGTTGGATTGGCTTTAGCCCCAATTAGTAGCCCTACTTGTAGAGATGTACTTATAAGTTATAACTTACTTTTGATTTCAGGTGGATATTTGTTCCCAATTATGACAGTGGATTCGAATCGAACTTGTTTCAATTTTGAGTCTTCTAATTGTGATATTATATTGACATTAGCGATAGTGTGTGTTTGTTAGCAGATTTAAGAGTAAATTACATGATTGGTCCTTATGGTTTGAGGTAATTTGCACGTTTGGTCTGTAATTTATTTTTTTAACTCGGAAAGTCTCTATTGTTTGTTTTTGTTGCGCTCTTGGTCCCTGTCTTACCTAAAAAGACTATTTTGCCCTTGATTTTTTTAGATTTATTTAAATAAGGTGGGCTAGGTAAGATAAGATGAGGTGGAGGTAGGGTTGGGGTGTGTTTATTTAAATAAATTAAAAAAATCAATGGCAAAATAGCCTTTTAGGTAAGATAAAGACCAAGCACGCAACAAAAACAAACAGTAAAGACCTTTCGAGTTAAAAAAATAAGTTAGGGACCAAACGTGGAAATTACCCCAAACCATAGGGACAATTCGTGTAACTTACTCTCGATTTAAATGATTTTTTAAAATTTGAATCTGACTTTTGTTATCCTCCTTCAAAGTTCATATTAGCTACACACTAGGCAACAACCTGCACATCTAGAACTTGGAAAACAATTTGTCACAGTTTTGTTTTGGCACAATATTTTGAACTTTTTTGCAAATTAGTTACTAATGCAACTTAAGATGTTTTGTGGTTATCCATTTTCAGATCACTTTACTCCGAAAATTGCATATATTCTTGCCAAACAACTTGAATCGGAAACATATTTCTGGTTTTTATTCTTCTTTGCCTTGTATTATTATATGATATACATTTGTTAGTTATTGAAGACAATAAACACAATCCCATGTCCACACTAAAGACATAAATAAGAAGAAAAAAAGGAGAAAATATTGAGGATTACTTATAAGAGTCTTGAAATAAGTACTTTGTTCGAAAAAGGAATGATTTTGTCATTGATGTTGTTTGTAGTTCTAATGAATTTGTTGAAACAACTAATGTTAACTACGTTATAGAAGTTAATATTTTTTATTCAAAATATGTGTGAAGACAATATTTTAGTGATGTTTTCAAGTTTGAGCCATATGAATATGAATTTGGTTTAAATAAACATCACTTGCATTTTTGTTTAGCAAATTTATGTTGCACATGGATTTAATACAAATATTGGGGCATTAATAAGTTTTTTCACCCAGGGCATTAAAAGCTTATGGACCGGCCATATATATCTTCGCGTGCATATAAAGATCACTGAAAACGGACTTGGAACGAAGAAGTTATGGTTCTTTAAAGTTGAATGGAATGAGTAAAAGCTCGTAACCAAGACGTGGTGATAAGTTCACCGCGACATGGTGAGTTGTGCAGCCCAAGCCCATAAAATTAGGGTTTGCTTCGTATTTAAAGGCAATGTTCCGTGTTTTAGGTCATTTTTCAACCTCCAACTTATCAAGAGCTCAATGGGAGCAAACCTTAGCCTCCCTTTTCATAGTTTGAGTTCCCCCTCTCTCCTTAAGGCTATGTTTGGCATATTAGCTGAAAAACTAGTTATTAGTTGAAAAGTTAGCTGATAGCCGAAAAGCTAGTTGTTAAATAAAAAGCTAGCTAATAGCTGAAAAGCTAGCTGATAAAAAATGACGTTTGGTAATATTAGCTGAAAAGCTAGCTGAAAGGTATAAAATTACATAAAAGTGAATTTAAGAGAATGTGTTTCTATGATTAATTAAGGGGTATATTTGGAATTTTTTTAAAAAAAAAGCTCCTAAAAAACTAGTCTAAGTAGCTTTTTAAAAAGCTAGTTAATAAGCTAGCTTATAAGCTACTTTTTGGTTTACCAAACACCACAACATAAAAAAGCTCAAAAAAATAAGCTAGCCGTGGCATGCCAAACACAACCTAAACCTCTTTTGCTGCATATTTTGGTGTTTTAGTGAAGAAAGCAAGAAAGGTTGTGCTTGGAAGCGTGAAGCTTGTGGATCTCTACCCTCTCTACTCTTCTGGACCCTTGTAAGTTATAAAGAGCATAGATTTATTGTGTTTCATCTTTGGATCTAAGAGTATTTGGAGTTTTAGCGCTTTATATGCTTGTTTTGGTCCTTCTGATGGATTTGCGTTGGAGTTTGGAC